GGCAAGCAAGGGGCAAGCAAAGGGCCACATCCGGCCCTGCTCTAGACACCAACACTTCTTGCAAAAACTTCAGTTCTGATTTCATATTCTCTCCTTTGCACAATTTTCCGACAAGCAGATTGCAAAATTCCCAAAGGGCATTTCCTCCTTCAGGTTACTGGAAACCACAAAAACAAAGCAATACCTTTTGTGCTCAGAAGGGGGCGTGTACTAAGCAAGGTTAACGATCGACACTGGAAAAAAATTTCTAAATCGCAGACAGAGACCCGAAACAGGTCCGGCGTTCAGCCACAAGACCTTTATCCGCACAGCTTCCGCCATTTCCAAAAAGTTTTTCAGGACGCCTTTTTTTTTCCTCCCGTAGGTCTAGAAAGTAACTGGAAGCAGAGCACGCACTTTAATCAGGGGCGGGGCATTCCGTTGTTATGGGCATGGTCCTACCAGAAGGTTAATCAGGTGCTTCCATCAGGGATCTTCTGGCAACAAAAGGGATAATATGCTCCTCCCCTGGGATCTACTATCATCATCTCCACACCTCTTACCTCCCTGCAGCTCGACGCTGAGCCTCTCACCTCAGAGGTCGACCACAGGCCGTCCCCAAGTCTCGACCAATCATTGAGAGCCTCAGCCCCCTGGCAGCAGAGCAGTCACATCGATTTGAATGTCTGTGATTTTGTGTGGGCACCTCCAGCACTTGACCATCCATGACCGACCTTGATTCCCAGAATGCAGCCCAGGACAAGGTCGTGATGGGACAGCTTTTCAAAACCAATGAGTGTCCCAGACAAATCGGGACAGTCAGCAAATATGCAATTGCAAAGCTTTTCGGCATTTACAGAAAATTAAAAATGATCCAGTGATTGCATGGGGGTATTTGTAAGCCTGGCTTGTTTAGTCTTCCCTGCCGCCCTATGGCCATAGACAGTAAAATCATTTGTTAAATGGTTGCCCGTTCCAATGATGCTAGTCTTGGTAATTCAGATATGATCTCCAGTGACGGGGAAGGCAGTGTTCAGGCAGAGCCGCGGGTTGGGTTTGAACCTCAAACAACTATAGCAAAATCCATATGACTATGGGCTGGACTTTGGAGGCATCGGTCACATGAACACCATCGATCTAATGGCTTTGCCTAAAAGCCACGGCTCAAGCCATTTTGGCAGGAACTATGTGGCTAATGAACTTGCCAGCACCCATCCACTCCCAGAGCAAGCTCAAGCTTGAGATAGCAACTTCTACAGAACAACAGATTTTACCAGTGACACGACCGTGGCTAATTGGTTGGCTTTGCGTGAAGGCCACACACTAAGCCCTTTTGGTGGAAACCACCTTGCTTGGCTGCCTTTGCCTGAAGGCAACACACCAAGCCCTTTTGGTGGAAACCACATTGCTTGGCTGGCTTTGTTTAAAGGCCACACACCAAGACCTTTTGGTGGAAACCACATCGCTTGGCTAGATTTGCCTAAAGGACACCCACCAAGCCCTTTTGGTGGAAACCACATTGCTTCGCTGGCTGTGCCTGAAGGCCACATGCCAAGCCCTTTTGGTGGAAACCACATTGCTTGGCTTTCTTTGCCTAAAGGCCACACACCAAGCCCTTTTGGTGGAAACCACATCGTTTGGCTGGCTTTGCCTGAAGGCCACATACCAAGACCTTTTGGTGGAAACCACATTGCTTCGCTGGCTGTGCCTGAAGGCCACATGCCAAGCCCTTTTGGTGGAAACCACATTGCTTGGCTTTCTTTGCCTAAAGGCCACACACCAAGCCCTTTTGGTGGAAACCACATCGTTTGGCTGGCTTTGCCTGAAGGCCACATACCAAGACCTTTTGGTGGAAACCACATTGCTTAGCTGGCTTTGCCTGAAGGCAACACACCAAGCCCTTCTGGTGGAAACCACATTGCTTGGCTGGCTTTGTCTAAAGGCCACACACCAAGCCCTTTTGGTGGAAACCACATTGCTTGACTGGCTTTGCCTGAAGGCCACACTCCAAGACCTTTTGGTGGAAAGCTCTTGTCACCCACGTACACCAGAAGAAAGCATTGAGGAGCACTTTTTTTTAGGAGATGAGTACTAAACTCTTTTACTGCATATGGTGGCAAGGAAGAAGAAGAGGTCAAACTGGATAGGCTTCAGTGTTGACTGTAGGTCTGCTTTAATTTGACCCCTGGGCCTCTAACAATAGCTAGCTCTATGGCACAGTACTAGTCACCCTCAGTGTTGTTCTGTACCACCCTGCTAGCAAAATACCAAAACCATCAAAACCATTCCTACCACCTGAAAACTGAAGGACACATCAGATGATAACACAAGTAATAGACTACCAATTTACTGTTTTCTCAGGTGCCTAGGTACGCAGGAAATTACTCAACAACAACAGAAAATCCCTTTCCGACTACTCCAACACAAAGATCCTTCTAATGTTCTTCTACATCTCACATACAAATAGACAAACCTACTTATCCAAAACATCCGGTCTAACCCTTCATGTGACTACGAGCTAGCCGCATGTGACACCACGAAAGGGTTAATGTAGGCCAGCCCAGACCGGCAAACCGCAATCCCACACAATCCATTTTCCTATCCACTTTTGAACATTCCGTGACCCTACACAAGCTCTCCTCCTCCTCCTCCCCACTGAGGATTTACTGACAAATATTTTCCTCTTCCGAGGCCCAGGGTGGTACTGGACGTTCACAGGCTGCCCAAACAGCTGCTAAAATCCCTTCCCGGCAAGTCAAAAGAAGGTTAAAAGCTTTTTTTTTAAAGACAGACCCGGGCAAAAAAAATCAACTCTTTTGGTTATAGTACATGGTACAGAGCGGAACCCGGCTCCTTAGATCCCTCAGGATCTTTGAAAAGGGAGATATTTGATTTGGAGGTTCAGTTGGACATCCAGATGGATCTCATTGACCTGTTTCGATTACCCTACGTCTGGAGAACCCAAGAGGTTCAAGGGGTCAGTGGGTAAATCATCCCACCAACATCTACCCAAGCTGAAAATCCTATATTTCCATCACATCGTAGAACTAACAAAGGAGAATGAAATGATGAGGCTCACCAAGAGCATAACCAGAAAATCAACTAGTAGCTTCACCAAGAGTTTAAAAAAAAAAAAAAACGAGAGGACACCACTCGCTCCAAATTTCCATAGCTTAAAGCTGAACTCCAGGCAAACAGCTTATACATAGGAGAGCTGCTTTAACTATCAAAGAATGTGTTTTCATGTCCATCCAGTTCTGAGATTTACATAGCTCCGAAGCCCTGTCTGGCAAGGCAAGAGACCTGATTTCTCTCTGCTGCAGTTATATGACACCTACAGGTCTTGTCCCCCCCTGCCCAAGACTGGATAGTGAAAGGAGAAGCTCATCTCTTTGTAACTCTGCTCTCTACTTCTATCAGCATGTTCCTTGTTAGCACATGAGCACTGTAGCGCAACTGATTGAATCCTTCTGCTTCTTTTTTTTTTTTTTTAATAGAACCCTTGACGAAGATCCATAATGTTGCAATAATTTGTGTCTTTTATATCGGCCTGGAGTTCAGCTTTAGAGGCTTTCCGGGGAAAAAAAAAATAGTTCAGATCTTTCCGTAGACTTAAAATGGAGGGTTCTGTAATTCATTTCCACAAGAGATTTGAGGGCTGTGTGAGGTCCAAACCCTTGTCTGATACCAATGTACTTCGATCGGTCAGAGGAGGTGATACAGATATCTAATCAGTTCTCTGAGAAGATATGGTGGCTCCATCCTCAAGACCAGGGGTGGACTGACCATTCGGGCACTCGGGCACTGCCCGAGGGCCGGGGGTCAGTAGGGGACCCCATGAGATGCTCCTGGTACCTTTTATAGGCTTTTTTGGGTGTGGTTTGAGTGTGGACAAGGACACAGGGGCCCCATGATCCCCTATTACCCGAGGGCCCCATGAGTTGTCAGTCCGCCCCTGCTCAAGACCCAGTCCCTCTGAAAACAACTGTCTTCACAGAAGGGCTTAGATGTCACATAGCTCTCGGCTTCCTGTGGTGGGATGTCGTTGCAATATTTCACAACTGAAGATCCGTTGAGATTATTTTTCACAATCACCCGCGATTGATACACCAGAATAATCACATAGGAGTGTGGGCACCATGTTGAACGCAATCGATGGTGGTCTTAGTGGCCAGATTGATTGCTAAATATTTACAGCATCAGTGGGTCGTGTCAGATTTTCAGTGGCCCCATTGTGTGATGAGACACGGCCTCCTAGCCATGACCTAAATCGCTGATTATATTTCCTAACCTAACTGCAAGGAGCTCGAAATTGAAGAACGTCTTCAAAATGGCCAACAGACAATCCAGGATGAAGCAGCTCTCCGCCACACTGACAGAAGAGAGACCTTCTGACACCGCCACACTGACAGAAGAGGACAGAAGAGGACGTCGACTGACAGAAGAGGACCTTCCTCTACGTGTTGTAGGACATACCTCCTTTGTCCTACTCACGCCTCCTCCTCACATCTGTTAGGTGTCAGTTGTCCACCTCAGATGAGTCAACAAAGACCTTAGGAGAGGACAATGGTGGTATGTCCAAAGTAGGTCCACATGTGCCTACTACAAAATTTAGAACATTTTTGTAAAGCTTGAGGGAAAAACGGGATATTCATCGCCTGTTTCATGCATGCAGATAACGGCTTGAATCAATATTGGATATGACTGCATCCTTCCATTGAGTTGGGTTCAAGGTCAATCTCTCAATTTAAGTTTGAAGATTGAATTTGGCCAAGGCTAAAGTAGGTTACTGAGTACAAAAGTGGGGGGAAGTTGTACATGGCACTGCCCTTTTTTTTTTTTTTTTTCAGAAAGTAAAATATCTGCGTAATTTCTTTGCCAAAAAAGAAACGAGCTTTGAAGATGTTTGGCCCTGAGGCTGAGAAGGTGGGGGGAACCCTATGGCTGTTAATGCTGAGATGAGGACTGGCCGTGCAGATGGAGAATGTCTGCAAAGTTCTTGGGTGGGGTAGTAGCAATGGTCAATGCTCCTTGGCTTTAGCCTCTCCTGGGATGTTGTTTTGGAGAATGGAGTTGGCTTGAGGCGACCAGAGCAAAGTCGCTGTGAAGAAACAGATGAGGATGACATTTCCTATCACTGAAGTGGCCACGACGCCCAATGTAATCGCCAGCGAGTCCGTCTCGGAGTATACGCTGAGCCAAGACTTGCGAGACAACCGGTCGGTCAGCACGGCTTCCAACTGGAAATGGGTCCCCATGACGGCACAGATGTGGAAGAGCTGGTGACTATGGCCTGCAAGGGAGTATATTTTTAGGAAACAAAGGGAAAAAGTCATATATACCTCAAAAGTGATCTTTCCAAAACTCCTCTATTTTGAGGGAATCTTACCAAAGTAGTCAAAGCGACCAGGGGCCAGTCTTTCGGGAAGATGAGAAGCGAAGAGGAAACCGGTCAAGAAAGCAAAGAAGAGGTGATAGAGATGAAGAGGGATGGCTTCATTCCAGTTGCAACCTTCTCCGTAGCAGAAAAAAGAGCTGTAGGGTGTCGAGAAACGGACATATCATCATGAAACGTAAAGCAGGAGTGACAACCTAAAGGCCAACTCAACTCAGATATCCCACAAATCGAGTCCCAGAGGAAAATGTCAGCTGGTTTAACTCTACAGCATTCACCAAACACTGAAGTATTGGTTCCGATTTAAAGCAGAGATGTTCCTCTCTGAAGGAACCATCAGACTACGTTTGATCAATCATGACGAAAAGAGATCATTTAAAATGAATGATACATAAGCACCACCTTCGGGCCAAGCAGGTATGTTTATTCCTTTAGCAATTGACCTGCAGATCCAAAGCAACCAACTGAGTCTTCTCCTGAGATTGCATGAAGGCAACCACTGCCTGAATGGAACATACCTGGCAAGATTTTTAACCACTTCCAGTCCGGACACTTTCCCCCCCTTCCAGTCCGGACACTTTCCTCCCCTTCCAGGTCTGGACACTTTCCCCCCCTTCCGGTCTGGACACTTTCCCCCCCTTCCGGTCCGGACACTTTCCCCCCCCTTTCCGGTCCGGACACTTTCCCCCCCTTCCGGTCCGGACACTTTCCGGTCCGGACACTTTCCCCCCCTTCCGGTCCGGACACTTTCCCCCCTTCCGGTCCGGACACTTTCACCCCCTTCCGGTCCGGACACTTTCCCCCCCTTCCGGTCCGGACACTTTCCCCCCCTTCCGGTCCGACACTTTCCCCCCCCTTCCGGTCCGGACACTTTCCCCCCTTCCGGTCTGGACACTTTCCCCCCCTTCCGGTCCGGACACTTTCCTCCCCTTCCAGTCTGGACACTTTCCCCCCCATTCCAGTCCGGACACTTTCCCCCCCTTCCAGTCCGGACACTTTCCTCCCCTTCCGTCTGGACACTTTCCACCCCTTCCGGTCCGGACACTTTCCTCCCCTTCCGGTCCGGACACTTTCCTCCCCTTCCAGTCCGGACACTTTCCCCCCCTTCCGGTCCGGACACTTTCCCCCCCTTCCGGTCCGGACACTTTCCCCCCCTTCCGGTCCGGACACTTTCCCCCCCTTCCGGTCCGGACACTTTCACCCCCTTCCGGTCCGGACACTTTCCCCCCCCCCTTCCAGTCCGGACGCTTTCACCCCCTTCCAGTCCAGGCCAATTTTCAGCTTTCGGCGCTGTCACACTTTGAATGGCAACACTGTACCTGTATGAATTTTTTATAATTGATTTGAGACAGATAAAGCTTTATTTTGGTGGTATTTATTCACCGCTGGGATTTTTATTTTTTTTTTGCTATGTAAATTAAAAAGTCCAAAAATTTTGAAAAAAAGTGTTTTTCTTATAAAATTTTGCAAATAAATAGTATTTCATCATAAATCTTGGCCAACATTTATTCCGTTATAGTTTTAGTGAAAAAAAAAAATAACCCAAATTAGTTTATAACCAAAAATTATAATTTTTAAACTTTTTTTTTTATTTATAATTTTTTCTTTATAATTTTTTTTTTTTAACATACTGTCACCCTAGCAGTAGTATCACCATGGTGACACTGTACTACTTGTGGGGGGGGTGATGAAGATTTTTTTTTTTTTTTACACTGATTGATTTTACACCCATAAAGGCTGTAAAGCAATCATTTCTCCTTCTCTCTGGCTGCATTCTTGCAGCCATTGAGAACTACTGAGTGAGCTGTGATTGGTCACACCTTGTCACATGGCACAAGGCTGTTGTGAATGGCCCTGTACCGTGTGATCTCTGTGATCGTTCACAGATTTCACACGTAGTAAGCAATGATGTCACAAGTGAAATCTTGCTTACTACTCAGCATGTGATCACTGATTGGCCGATCAGTGATCACATGATCGGAACCTCGCGCAGAGGTCCCGTACGACGATCGGTGTTCCACTGTGTCCGGAGGACACAGCGGGCACCGGATCGCGGTGCTGTGCGCTCCCAGGGAGCGCGCACAAGCAGGGTTTATATAGAACGGCCGGACGGGAGGTGGTTAAATCATTCAATGTCTGTTGGATCATGTAGACCAAGGGGTCACCAAACCAGGGGCGGACTGACAACTCATGGGGCCCCTGGGCAATAGGGGATCATGGGGCCCCTGTGTCCTTGCCCAAACTCAAAAAAGCCTATGATAAAGGTACCAGGGGCATCTCATGGGGCCCCCTACTGACCCCCGGGCCCTCGGGCAGTGCCCGAGTTTCCAAATGGTCAGTCCGCCCCTGCACCAAACTTTCTAAACAAAGGGCCAGTTTTCCATTCTCCAGACTCTTGTGAACCATCGGTCCTCGCTGTCCACAATGTCCTCCTCACTGTCTTTAGAAGCATGTCTTTTATAAGGAAGCCACTTGAATGTATATTGAGATGCCTTCAACATTGCAGAACAAGTCTACTCTAATGGGACTAACATCTACTAGCTATACCAAGACCTGGATACAATAAAACCTTTACTTTGTCTGCTCTGCTCCAGTGATGGACAACAAAATGGCCACTCGCTGGTGTCACTGGTTCAGAATAGACAGATAAGCTCTTCTCAAGGGTGGCTACTTTCGAGAAGACACCAGTCCCTCAACAACTCAAAGCAAAGGCAAAACCCTCAGGAGCTTTGGTGACATCACTCAACCCAAGCAACTCCACTCACTTAAAAACGGATGACGACCACACTGACTTGCCGCAGCTATGACAACTCACCCGGTAGAACAGGGGGACGTTGTCAAAGACAAAGGGGTGCACGAAAGCCACTGTGCGCAGGACTTTACTTAACACTGGCCGGTCTACCTCCAGGAATCTGCCGATGAAAGAGACAAAATATTATCAGGTCTTGGTTCTCCGAAGTGCCTCCACCCCCCTTTCCATTCATGTACAAATCAAGAGATGCCCACAAATTCCGAGAGACCCCGTATGTTAGTTAGTGCAATCAGCATTCTGTGAGCTAGCTGTCTGGGCAACTTGCCTGATATGCTTGAGAGCCATAGAACTGTCATGGCAAATTGCCTACAAGGAAGGTCACTAGGTCTTTCCTCAACCTTGCTTGACTTGCGACTGGCTAACAGAGTTGGATAACGCATTGTAAGGGGCGGACTGACAACTCATGGGGCCCCCAGGCAATAGGGGATCGTGGGGCCCCTGTGTCCTTGCCCAAACTCAAAAAAGCTTATGAACCAGGGGCATCTCATGGGGCCCCCTACTGACCCCGTGCCCTCGGGCAGTACCTGAGTTTCCAAATGGTCAGTCCACCCCTGCGCGTTGTACACACATACTAGGGCCAAACTACCTACCGGCATGTCTGGAATGTAGGAGGACACCAGCCCACCTGGAGGAACCCCATGGAAACACAGCGAGAACGTGAAAACTCCATGCAGATAGGATCCCGTGCATGCGCAACTACCTTCTAGCTGCTAGAAGGCAAGGTATTGACCATGCAGGGGCAATGCGCGGTCCATGCCAACCATGGGCAGCTGGAGCAAGGGGGCAAAGAACGGGCGCAAGGTGCTACACCGATTCTATGGCAAGCATTAGGAGATGGGCGCAGTTCTGCATCCTTGAACCTGTCCCGGCACTGAGGTACAATACCCACCAAACTGGCCACGGTGTCAGAAAAATGAGCTGGGGTTACCCTGAAATCTGATTTCACCCTTGACCACGCAGGTAGAACGATGGCAATGCTGTCAAAGTGTGTGGTCACCGTCAGCACCTGTACGTACCGGGAGTAGCAGGAGAGGCCGGTGCAGATGAAGGTGTTGAAGGCCGCGATGGGGACGTAATACCGATGCAGGGTGCCGTTCACCCAGCGGTCAGGCATGACGTAGGCCCCATAGGTAAAGGCACAGCCTATGGAGAGAGGGCACATGAGTGAAATGGAACACGACTACCGTCCAGGAGCACAAAAAACATCGACATCCATCAGATACGAAGAATGGCTACTTACCTGGGCAACGAACAAGGACCTGTCCTGTACCTACCCAGGCTGTAGAGACTGAGGGCTCCGTAGTCCAGGAAGTAGCAGATATGGCGGGCGTGGGCAGACATACTACTGAAGGTGTGGGCAAAGCTGGAGGTGAAGGGGTAAAGGCAGATCAGCATCATGTAAACCAGGAGGGGCCAATTGTATGGGTCCCCCAGAAAGTCCAGTGTGTAGGAGAGCAGGAGGAACCTCCACAGGAAATACCTGGACAGAGGATACAGGATTTACAGGAGATGGTCAGAGACTGCAGACTTACTACAGGAGACGGTCAGAGACTGCGGACATGGTATAGGAGACGGTCAGAGACTGCTGACAGACTACAGGAGATGATCAGAGACTGCAGACATAGTACAGGAGATGGTCAGAGACTGCAGACGTACTACAGGAGATGGTCAGAGACTGCTGACAGACTACAGGAGATGGTCAGAGACTGCAGACATACTACAGGAGATGGTCAGAGATTGCAGACGTACTACAGGAGATGGTCAGAGACTGCTGACAGACTACAGGAGATGGTCAGAGAGACTGCAGACATACTACAGGAGATGGTCAGAGATTGCAGACATACTACAGGAGATGGTCAGAGACAGTAGACATGGTACAGGAGATGGTCAGAGACTGCAGACATACTACAGGAGATGGTCAGAGACTGCAGATATACTACAGGAGACTGCAGACATACTACAGGAGATGGGCAGAGACTGCAGACATACTACAGGAGATGGTCAGAGACTGCAGACATACTACAGGAGATGGTGAGAGACTGCAGACATACTACAGGAGATGGTCAGAGACTGCAGACATACTACAGGAGATGGTCAGAGACTGCAGACATACTACAGGAGATGGTCAGAGACTGCAGACATACTACAGGAGATGGTCAGAGACTGCAGACATACTACAGGAGATGGTCAGAGACTGCAGATGTAGTACAGGAGATGGTCAGAGACTGCAGATGTAGTACAAGAGATGGTCAGAGACTGCAGACATACTACAGGAGATGGTCAGAGACTGCAGACATACTACAGGAGAGGGTCAGAGACTGCAGACATGGTACAGGAGATGGTCAGAGACTGCAGACATACTACAGGAGAGGGTCAGAGACTGCAGACATGGTACAGGAGATGGTCAGAGACTGCAGACATAGTACAGGAGATGGTCAGAGACTGATGTGTAAATCTCCAATTAGACAGGTAATAGATGTACTGTGTGGGAATATCTCTAGAACCATCCGCACAGATCTAGGCATGTGGTTAGCGGTGAATACACAGCGCCTGCACTGGCCTCCTGGACTCACCATGTCGGGAGGAAGTGGGTCCAGATGTTCACAGTTTCATTGGTCATTTGGAAGGAGCTGAGAAGGCAATCCAGGGCGGTGCTTTTTGGGTGCCGGTACCCCGACATGATTCCATCTTCCCAAAACACCTGAATCAGTGACAACACTTATCAGTAACAAAAGAATTATTTATAAAATCTATAAAAAGTGTTACTAGAAATGTCAATTCCACCACAAAACGTCCCCTCTTCTCATATCCCGCTCCTCATAGGAGGACCTGTCCCACCCCTATGACATGTGATCAGGGGGTTGGGCTGACTGGACACACACCCCTGAGGTTCCCCTGTCATAGGTCAGAGAAATGTGAGTACTAAGTATAGTTTCTCTGCCAGTAGATTTAATGGGTGAACCTGTCATTAACCTGACGATTCTGTCTGAATAAAGTCGTCCCAGCATCAGTTTTCAGAAAAGCTCCACCCTTTATTTATTAAAAGGCTCTAGAATTGGCTGAGAGATGATGTCATCCAACTGCTGCACAGAAGGGAATGCGTTCCCTCAGTCTCAAAAAAAAAAATAATAATATAATATATATATATATATATATTATATATTTATATATATTTTTTTTTTTTATTATTATTTATTTATTTAATTGTTATTTATCTAATTATCTGAACTTCAAGTATTCATATTTTTTTTTTTTATTTACCTGAGCTTTTTATATATATATAATTTTATTTTATTTATGTTATTTATCTATTTATCTTATCTGAGCTTCATTATTCTTTATTTTTTTTTTTATATATATATATATTATATATATTATTATATATATATACACACACATTTTTTTATATGATATATTATTATTTTTTATTTTTATTTATTTTATTTTAATTGTTAATTATTTTAATTATCTGAGCGGCATGCATTCATATATTTTTTTTTTTATTTTTTTAATTTTACCTGAGAGATTATATATATATATAATTTTTTATTTTATTTTGTTATTTTCTATTTATCTGAGCTTTTTTTATATATATTTTTTTATTTTTATTATTTTTTTTTTTTTTATTTATCTATTTTTAATGAGCTTAATTTTTTTTTTTTTTTTTTTTATTTTTTTTTTTTTATTTTTTTTTATTTATTTTTTTTTTTATTTTTTTTTTTTTATTTTTTTTATTTTTTATTTTTTATTTTTTTTTTTTTAATTATTTATTTTTTTTTTTTTTTAATTATTTTTTTTTTTAATTTGTTTTTTTATTTTTTTTTTTTTTTTTTTTATTTTTTTATTTTTATTTTTTTTTTTTTTTTTTTTTTTGTTTTTTATTTTGATCTGAGCTTTTTGTATTTAGATTTTGCTTTTTTGTTTTATTTACTAGTTTTTTTTATTGTAGAGATAAAGCGCGCTGTTTTTTTTTTTTTAAATTTTTTTTTTTTTTTTTTTATTTTTTTTTTTTTATAACAGTTTTTTTATTTTTTGACAACATGGAATGGACAGATTCCTAAACTTCGAGAGTCAGAACTGAACCAGAGGAAATTTTTTTTTTTTTTTTTTTTCACTACACTTTTTTTTTTTTTTTTTTTTTTTTTACAGATTTTTTTTTCGCTGAAAATTTTTTTTTTTTTTTTTTTTTTTTTTGAATTTTTTTTTTTTTTTTTCTAGTCTCTTTTTTTTTTTTTTTTTATTCATTGAAAAAAAAACATGAATTTTTACAGCATTTTTTTTTTTATTTTTTTTTTTTAGTATTTTCTGTGTTTTTTTTTTCTTATTTTTTTTTTCTTTTTTTTTTTTTATGCTTTTTTTTTTTTTTTTTTTGTTTTAAGTTCACATAATACAAAGGCTTCTTTTTTTGGGCTTTTTTATTTTATTTTTTTTTATTTTAGCAGCTGTTCAAAATCTCAGAGCTCAGAAGGATCAGCCTTCAGAGCTTTATGCCCGCCTCTCTTTGATTTTTTTTTTTTTTTTTTTTTTTTTTTTTTTTTGTGTTTTTTACTATAAAGGCTTTGTGACTTGGGCAGGAAAAGAGCGAAGGGGGGCGGGCATTTTTTTTTGTTCCAGATTTCAGAGCTGAGAAGGATCAGCCTTTGGAGCTGCTATGCCTGCCTTTTTCTCCACTTTTTTTTTTTTTTTTTTTTTATTTTTTTTGAGTTCACATAATACCAAGGCTTTTGTTTTGGACGGGAAGAGGTTACCATGTGGTGGCTTTTTTTTTCTCCTTTGTTTTTTTTTTTTAGGGACGTTTTTTTAAAGCACAGAATATTCCCGTTGATCCTGCCAGAAATCCAGTGTCCTTTAACAGCCTATTTTTTTTGAACTTTTTTTTCAGCTTTCTACAAGAACAGCCACCCCTATGTATGGGAGATAGGATTTTTTTTTTTAGTTTTTTCAGGTTTAATTTTTTTTTTCTTTTATTACATTTTTTTTTTTTTTTTTTTTTAGGACAGGGAGTGTGTTTTTCACATTTTTGCCTTTTTTTTTGACCGTCTTTTTTTTTTAATTTTTTTTATTTTTTTTTTCACATTTTTTATTTTTTTTTAGCAAAAATCACACGCTTTTTTTTTTATTTTTTTGCTGAAGCAACTCTATCCAGTGGACGGGGCTGCGCCACAACCGCCACCGTGCGCAATGAACGCAGCGGCAATTTTTTGGGGCAAAAATTTCAGAGGTAAAAACAGGTGGTCACATATTGCCTTTTTTTTTATTTTTTTTAAGGCTTTTTTTCTTTCGCATTTTTTTTTTTTTTATTTTACCGTTTTTTTTTTATTTTTTTATATTTTTTTTTTAGCCGCTTTTAAGCTTTGATTTTTTTTTTTAGCCAATAGAGAAAAATATCATTTGTTTTTTAATATTTTACTTTTTGCTATTTTTTCTTTCAGCTTTTTTTTTTTTTTTATTTTTTTTTTTTTTTTTTATTTTATTTTTTATTTTTTTTTTTATTTTTTTAATTTTTTTTAAATTATTTTTTTTTTTTTTTTTTTTTTTTTTTTTTTTTTTTTTAATAATTTTTTAAATAAATAAAATTTTTTTTTACACAAGTAAATAAAAAGAATTTATATTTTTATTTTGTAATAATACATAAATTTTTTTAAATAACGTTTTACCCTTTTTAACCCTTAAAAAATATTTTATTTAATTATTATTATTATTATTAATTATTTTTTTTTTAATTTTTTTTTTATTTTTTTTTTTTTTAATTTTTATTAAAACACATAAACACGAGCCAAAAATACAGTTTTTTTTTTAATAATAACAAAAAATAATAATAATATAATATTAATTTATTTTTTTTTTTTTTTTTTTTTTTTTTAAATTTAATTATAAATAAATATTTTAATATTTATTTTTTTTTTTAATTTTTAATCCATAACCTTCATTTTTTAAACAATATATTAAACAAATGATGATGACGATTTTTTTTTTTATTATTATTAAAAAAAAAATGAACACCTAAACCTGAGCAAAATAATGCAATAATTAATAATAATGATAATAATTTTAATTTTAATAATAATAGATTAATATTTAAATGTTAAATTTAATATTATTTTACAAATAAATGAAATAATTTAATAAATACTTGTAATAATAAAATATTAATAATTAATTTTTTAATTTTAAAAAACCTTTAAGTTATAAAATAATAGCAATAATTTTTTTTTAATTTTATTTTTTTTTTTTTATTTTATTAATTTATTTTTAATATTTTTTTTTTATTATTTTATATTTTTTTTAAATTTTTTATTTTAATACATTTATAATAAATATTTTAATTAAATAAATAATAAAAAAAAAAAATAATTAGTTAAATTAAAATAAATACAGAAATTTATTTTTTAATTATATATAAATAAATTTAATTTTTTTAAATTAATAATTTAATTTTTAACCTTCATTTTAACCCTTAAAAATTATTAAACAAATTTTATTTTTTGATTTTTTTTTTTTTATTATTAATAAAAAATTTTTTTTTTTTTTTTAAAATAATACAATAATAATAATAATAATTATTAATAATAATTATTTTAATAAATTTTTTTTTTTTTTTATTTATTTATATTTTTTTTTTTTAATAGCGCCAATAAAATTTTTTTTTTTTATATTATTTTTTATTATATAATTTAGTACATTTTAAAAACAACTATTTTTTTTAAAAAATTAATTTTTTAATTTATTTTTTTTTTTTTTTTTTTTATTTTTTTTTTTTTATTTTATTTTTATTTTATTTTTTAACACATTTTTTTTTTATTTTTTTTAATTTTAGAAATATTTTTTTTTTTTTTTTTTTTCCAATTTTAACCTGGAAAAATTTTTTTTATTTTTTATATTTTTTTTTTAATTTTTAATTTTTTTTTTAATTTTTAATAAAATTTTTAATTTTTTTTTTTTAATTTTTAAATTTATTTTTGGGCAATTTTTTTTTTTTTTATTTTTTTTTTTTTTTATTTAATTTTTTTTTTTTTTTTTTTTTATTTTTTTAAAATTTTTAAATTTTTTTTTTTTTTTTTTTTTTTTTTTTAATTTTTTTTAAAATTTTTTTTTTTTTTTAATTTTTTTATTAATTTAAAATGAAAAAATTAATTTTTTTTTTTTTTAATAATTTTTTTTTTTAATTTTTTTTAATATAACCTTAAACCGGGCAAAATTTTTTTTTTAGGTTTAATTTTTTTTTTTTTTTAATTTTTTTTTTTTTTTTTTTTTTTTAATTTTTTATTATTTTATTTTTATTTTTTTAATAATTTTTTTTTTTTTTTTTTTTTTAAAGATTTTTTATATTTTTTTTTATTTTTTTTTTTTTATATTTAATAAACAAAAAAGCATTTTTTTTAAATTTATAAAATAATTTTCGAAAAAAATAAAAGGAAAAATATTTTTTTTTAAAAAGTTTTTTTTTATTTTTTATTTTTTTATATTACGGAAGCATAACTTAGATTTTTTTTTTCAGTTAAATTATTTTAAACTAAATTTTTGGAGGTGATTTTTTTTTTTTTTGGGGTTTTATTATTTTTGAGGATTTATATAAATTTTATTATTTTTAAAGGGAAGATTGAAGATTTTAAAAATTTTTAAGAGGGGGGTAAAAGTTGAGAAAATTTTTTTATAATTTGATTTTAATAATTATTTTTTTGCATAAATTAATGGTGGGCGGGGCATAATTTTTTTTTTTTTTTTTTTTTTTAAATAAATGTTAAATTTTTACACAAATAAATGAAACAATCATAAATAAATACTTGTAATAATAAAATATTAATAATTAAGCAATAACCTTAACCCCCTAAAAACCTAGAAAAGTTATAAAATAATAGCAATAATTTTTTTTACTATTAATATTGTTATTTTTTTTATTATTATTATTATTATTATTATTATTATTATTATTAATAATTAATTTTTTTAATTATTATTATTAACACATAAACACGAGCCAAAAATACATTATTTAATAATAATAATAACAAAAAATAATTAGTTAAATGTAAAATAAATACAGAAATAAATAAAAAATAATTATAAATAAATACTTGTAATGATAAATTAATAATATCTAATCCATAACCTTCATCCCCTAACCCTTAAACAATATATTAAACAAATGATTTGATTTTTTATTATTATTATTATTATTATCATTAGTATTATTATTATGTTTTTAAAAAAAAAATGGTAATAATATATGAATAAATAAATGTCAAATCAATACACATATAAATTAAAAAATCTTGATAACTAATTAATCCCTAACCTTAACAAATAAATGAATAAATAAAAATACATTAATAATAATAATAATAATAATAATAATAATAATAATTTATTTTTTGGGGGTGTTTATTTATTATTATTATTTATGTATTCATTTATTTATTTGTTACGGTTAGGGGTTAATTAGTTATTCATTTATTTTTATCAAAATCTTTTATTTATAGGTGTATTTATTTGACATTTATCTATTCATATATTATTACCATTTTTTTTTTTTTTTTTAAACATATTTTCATTTAAGCAGAAAATCGCGCCGGACGCCCGTAAAAACGCACCAGTCGCGCATTTCTATTCTTTTTGCCCAATTTGAGCTCCAACACTTTTCGGAGCTTCAGGCGTTCTGGCAACTCGGAGTGGAGATGTGAACCGGAATATTGATTTTTGTTCCCCCCCCCCCCCCCACCGAGCGTTCTGGAGCTGCGTGCTACAAAACGCTCAGATGTGAATGGGGACTTGGGAGGGGCGGCAGTGGCTGGTGGCACGGGTTACTGGCAGGATCACCAGGCGAAAATATAGTGGGGTGGGGGGGAGAGAAAAGGAATGCAGCCACCACATGTAATGCCCTGGCAGGCTCGGGACCTGGAAGAACACGATTGGTTGGAGGGGGAGTCAGGCGTTTGACCTACCCGGGGCATCTGATGGACGCTGAGGAGCTGGGGCAGCTTCACGGTCAGCATGTTGCACCATGGACAGCTTGGCACGGGGGCTCGTCTGTCGGCTCCCTCACAGCCCCGATCCAGGCTCCGGTCCCCCACCGAACATCCGCTCTGCAGAAGAGGAACACGGGAGGAAGTCAGACATTCAGAGACAGAGAGGGACGCGGCAGGGAAGACGCAGGAAGCAGCAGAGAGCGCACAGCACCGCCGCACACCCTGCCAATGTCAACTCCCCGCCGCCGCCCCCCGCTGTCAGACCTTCCATATGAACTCCAGATGTTGGGCGCTCTCTGATCCCGCGCGGCGGGAGCGCGCTCTGTGCTGAATTTCCCATCGTTCCCATCCCATCGGGCCAATCCCTACATGATTTCTGAGACAAAGGGTTTTTTTTATTTCTGTCCATCCAGTCCTCAGATTTGCACAGCCCCGCCACGCAGCACAGCCCCCCTCTGATCTTTTCGCCATTGCAGTAAAGTAAAGCCGCTCACCGATTCCTCCATCCATGCTACACGGCGTCTCCCGCTGTGCTCATCGTGTATTGAGACCCCTCCCCCCGCCGCTGTCCCGACAACAATTTTATGCTCCGGCGGGAGGCGGCCAACGGGGTCCAGACATCAAATTTCCGCTGGTTCCTCGAAGGACTTCAGTCCCTTTTCACTTGGTAAACCTGAATTTTTTCAAAAATCTGTCCTGGGAGACTACTGGTGCATTTGTTTTGTCGAAAAGTCGAATGTTATCAGGCTTTTTTCTCTCAGGTCGAATGTTATTCATTGAAAAAAGAAATAGATTGAATTAGGAAAATACCAAAATATGGCCACTAGATGGAGCTGGCGGTCACAGAAAGTCATCAGCATTTGCAAGGATCATTCTGTGCAAATGAGGTCAAATGCGAATGTTATCAGGTTTTGTTCTCTCCGGGTCGAATGTCATTCATTGATTAAAAAAAAAAAATAGAGTGAATTAGGAAAATACCAAATTATGGCCACTAGATGGAGCTGGTGGTCACAGGAAATCATCACCTATTTGCAATGATCCTTCTGTGTGAATGGCGTCAAAAACGAATGTTATCCGGCTATTTTCTCTCCGGGTCGAATGTTATTCATTCATACATTATAGAGTGAAATAGCACATTATAGCCACTAGATGGAGCTGATGGTCATAGGAAATAATCATTTATTTGCAATGACCGTTTTGTGTGAATGATGTCAAAAGCGAATGTTATCAGGATTTGTTCTCTCCAGGTCGAATGTTATTCATTGATTAAAAAAAAAAAAAAAAATAAAGTGAATTAGGAAAATACCAAAATATGGCCACTAGATGGAGCTGGTTGTCACAGGAAATCATCACCTATTTGCAATGATGTCAAAAGTGAATGTTATCAGGCTGTTTTCTCTCCAGATCGAATGTTATTCATTCGGATATTATAGAGTGAATCAGGGAAAGGGCACATTATGGCCACTAGATGGAGCTGATGGTTGCAGAAAATCATCACATACAATATTTCCTAGCATGGTTTCTGTGCAAATGGGGACAAAAACGAACATTAACAGCATCAAAAACTAATGTTATCGGGCTAGTTTCTCTCCAGGTCGAATCTTATTCATTGATAAAAAATACAGTGAATCAGGAAAATACCACATTATGGCCACTAGATGGAGCTGGTGGTCACAGGAAATCATCACCTATTTCCTATGATTGTTCTATGTGAACAAAGTAAAAAACAAATGATATCAGGCTATTTTCTCTCCAGGTCGAATGTTATTCATTGATAAAATATAGTAGAGTGAATCAGGAGATTACCGCCACTAGATGGAGCTGATGGTCAAAGGAAATCATCACCTATTTCTTATGATCGTCCTGTGCGAATGGCGTCAAAAACAAATGTTATCAGGCTATTTTCTCTCCAGGATGAATGTTTTTTCATTCATACATTATAGAGTGAATCAGGGAAATAACACATTATGGCCACTAGATGGAGCTGGTGGTCATAGGAAATCATCACATATTTGCTATGATCCTTCTGTGCAAATGGCGTCCAGAACGAATGTTATTAAGCTATTTTTCTCTCCAGGTCGAATGTTATTCATTGAAAAAAAAAAGAGTGAATTAGGAAAATACATTACGGCCACTAGATGGAGCTGATCATCATAGGAAAGAATCCCTTATTTGCTCCATCTAGTGGCCATAATGTGCTATTTCCCTGATTCAGTCTATAATGTATGAATAAATAACATTCGACCTGGAGAGAAAAAAACCTGATAACATTTGTTTTTTACGCCATTCGTACAGACCGATCATAGGAAATAGGTGATTTCTTGTGACCACCAGCTCCATCTACTGGCCATAATGTGCTATTTTCCTGATTCACTCTATAATGTACGACTAACATTTGTCCCGGAAAGAAATTAGCCCAATAACATTCGTTCTGGAAAGAAAATAGCCAATTAACATTCGTTTATTTCCCCCATTCCCACAGAACATTCATAGGAATTATGTGATGATTTCCTTTGACCATCAGCTCCATCTAGAGGCCATAATGTGGTATTTACCTGATTCACTCTGTAATGTACGAATGAATAACATTCGACCTGAAGAGAAAATAGCGTTTCGCACAGAAGGATCATAACAAATAAGTGATTATTTCCTGTGACCATCAGCTCCATGTACTGGCCATAATTTGGTATTTTCCTGATTCACTCTATTCTTTATCAAGGAATAACATTCGACCTGAAAGAGAAAATAGCCTGATAACATTCATCCTGGAGAGAAAATAGCCTGATAATATTCGTTTTTGATGCCATTCGCACTTAACGATCATAGGAAATATGTGATGATTTCCTTTATCCATCAGCTCCATCTAGTGGCCATAATTTGGTATTTTCCTGATTCACTCTATTCTTTATCAAGGAATAACATTCGACCTAGAGAGAAAATAGCTGAATAACATTCGTTTTTTTTTTCCCCATTTGCACAGAACATTCATAGGAAATAAGTGATGATGTCCGTTGACCATCAGCACCATCTAGAGGCCATAATGTGGTATTTCCCTGATTCACTCTATAATGTATGGATGAATAACATTCGTCCTGGAGAAAAAAATAACATTCGTTTTTGACGCCACTCACACAGAAAGATCATAGGAAATATGTGATGATTTCCTTTGACCACCAGCTCCATCTAGTGGCCATAATGTGTTTTTTTTTATTCACTCTATTCTTTATCAACGAATAACATTCGACCTGGAGAGAAAATAGCCTAAGAACATTCGATTTTTTTTTTTACCATTCACACAGAACGATCGTAGCAAAGAAACGATTATTTCCCATGGCAATCGCCTATTATTTATTCAGGAATAACATTCAACCTGGAAGGGAAATAGCCAAATAACATTCGTTTTTTTTTTTCCCCCCGACAGTTTCACAGGACAAATAGCTCTGGGAAGTTTGTTGTTTTTTTGTTTTTGATGTAATTACATCCCTTATTGCCTTAACAACCTCGTTCCCATTAAGAGTCTGACTCCCCTCCTGTTTAGTGCTAGTTAGTTTAGTCCCTCCCACACTTCCTCCATGTTCTCTCTGTCAGTGTTCGTTTTTCGGGGGGCGGGACATAGGCAGGTCGTCAGTTTCCCGCACTAAGACCGGACAAACCTCCTCCGCACTTCAATTAGCTGATGTGAAGTTGTGTTGGATTCACCTTCTGTCTGACTGAAGAGTGAAGCTGCCTGTGGATGGTGCCGAGTCAGCAAGTGACCCTACTGACCAGACAGACTGGATCTATGGAGGTGTGTCAATGCGTGCAGCAGCATCTGAAACAGAACACAGTTCCTGACTGCCATCACAAATGTCTGACACAGATCAGCCCCCTGCTGCAGACTCTCACTATGTGACTGGATACAAAGTTGCAATGTAAAGTCTGATCACTGGGTAGGAGACTGAGGAAATGCCCCCTCCTTCTTCTACAAAGTTACAATGTACAGTCTGATCACTGGGGGGGGGACTCTGAGGGACTCCTCCTCCTTCTACAAAGACACTGAGGGGAACTGAGGAAATGACTCCTCCTCCTTCTACAAAATGTTACAATGTACAGTCTGATCACTGGGGGGAGGGGAGACTGAGGAAATGACTCCTCCTCCTTCTACAAAGTTACAATGTACACTCTGATCAAAGTTACAATGTACACTGGGGGGGAGGGGAGACTGAGGAAATGACTCCTCCTCCTTCTACAAAGACAATGCACTGATCACAGCAGGCTGATGTAGGGAGTAGGGAGGAGTGAAGCTGCCTGTGGATGGTGCCGAGTCAGCAGGTGACCCATCCTGCTGATTGGGGGGATTGAGGGACGGGTATACTGGCGGCCAGTAGAGGGAGCCGCTACACGTATGTAACACGATAATGGAAATATGGAACAGCAATCACGCAGAGCTGGAATCTTGCAGCCAATGGGAAGCGAGTGTGCGATGGCTCCTATGTGGGTGTGGCGGGGGTGGGTAGGGGCCCCGGGCCCCCCTGCGGTGGGAGCTGAGCTCTGATCCTTGCATTCAGATCAGGTTGCAGCGGGAGGCCATGAGAACGGCCGTGCCTGGTATGCTGCGCACAAAGGAGCCTCAGTTCTCCCATCCGCAGGCCCGATCCCCGGCTAGATTAGAGCGGGCGATAAAACCTGGGGGGGGGCGGGGGGGTCTGGCTCTGCATACAATCGGGGGAAAGGTCTGTATTATATACAATCATTCTGTCATATCTATCGAAAAGCAGTGTAGTCTAAAGATCCCCATCATTGGTGTCAGTGGGAGGAATAGTGCCCCATCATTGGTGTCAGTGGAAGGAATAGTGCCCCATCATTGGTGTCAGTGGGAGGAATAGTGCCCCATCATTGGTGTCAGTGGGAGGAATAGTGCCCCATCATTGGTGTCAGTGGGAGGAATAGTGCCCCATCATTGGTGTCAGTGGGAGGAATAGTGCCCCATGATAGGGGCCAAGCCCAACCCCTGAAAAACAACCCCACACCATAATCCCCCCTCCACC